GTTCCAGATTCGATTCCTGTATCCATCCAGGGCATATCTGTGAGTACTTGATTATGGATTCGATTCCTGTATCTAGCCAGGGCATATCTGCATGAAGAGTTTAGAGATTTGATACCTGTATCCAGCCAGGGCACGTCTGTAAACAACCTTTTGAAGTTCCAGATTCGATTCCTGTATCTAGCCAGGGCACATCTGTGAGCAACTAATTGTGGATTCGACTCCTGTATCCAGCCAGGGCACATCTGCATGAAGAGATTGAAGATCAACACCTGTAACAAGCCAGGAAACCATCTTTCTTTCTCAAGTACGCAAGTTCTCGCTAAGGAATCTCTTACGCGATCAACACTTCCAAATGACATCTATAAGCCCATTCCCGACAAGTTTCTGTCACGCCTCCAAATGGAATCTGTAAGCCCATCCTCCTATCCACCATCTCTCCAAATGACATCTGTAAGCCCATTCCCGCCATCACATTGCTGATACTCCGCTATGCGAGTGCAAATTTCTGGGCACTCTAGTGTCCAATCTCCTTTTACCCTCGAGTCGCGAAAGGCAAACTTGCCAATCTAACTCTTCAGGTCCAAGAAGATTGAACAGGGGCAACTGTTGTACCCCAAAATTTTCCCTCCCATTTCCTCAATATTTTCTCACCACAAGACCCTTGGAGCTCAAGATCAAGTTAGGTTTTGCTCTGCTCAAGACTCCTCTTTGCACTGTTGACCCAAATTAGGGTTTGTGTTTGCAGAAAGATGTTTTGATCTAAAAAGCCCAAGATGACTTTCATGCTTCATGTTGGACTCACAAGTTTATCCATACCAAGTTTCAAGCCTTGATTCCAATCTTTGCCCAGTCAATTGGACAGTTGACCTAGAAATCGGCTGTATTGGGGAAAAAGTCAACTGTGGTCAATTGACAGTCAAACCTCACGATTTTTGACCCACATCAATATTATGAACTCATATGAACCATTTGGTCAAGTTTGGATCACAATTCCACAAGAAATTTGATCAGATCACCAAAAGGGCAAAATGGTCATTTTTAGGGTTTTGACTGCACAAAGGCAATTTTTGACTGTTTGACCTAGACAATGGCAAACCAAGCTCATATATGGACTCAAGGACCCCATGGCATTGTCTTGACATATTCAAAAGGTTCAAAAGATCCCAAATGCACAAGATTGACAAATGAATTTTCCAGTCAACTGAGCCAAATTTGACTGTATACTGAAAAGTCAAACTTTGAATTTTTGGTCAAAATCAAGTGCCAAGATTCATTTTTCATCAAGACATGTCAAATTATGAAACTTGTACATCAAGAAATCAAAAATCACAAATTAGGGTTTGAAATGAAGAATTTTCATAACTTAGAATTTTTCTAAGTTATGAAAATCCCTAATTTTTTCCTAACTTTGTCCCATTTTTTCACCAAGATACATTTGGATTCAAGGAAAAACTCAAAACTTGAAAGTTGTAGTCCATTGCAAAATCTACAACTTTGATTCACAAAGTTTCCTCAAAAGAAGCTTATAGCTCAAGTTACAATTTTTGGAACAAGGGTGCAAAACATTCTTAACTTAGAAAATTTTTGACCTATTCTAGGCAGGATTTTTGCCTAACTTCATGGCCACTTTTCACATTCTTCCACTTGGAATTTCAATTTGCATTACAAAGATGGATTGTAGTACACATTACAAGCTTTCCAAAATGTCCAAGAACTTCTCAAAGACCCTTGTGGTTAGGGAGAATCGAATTTGTCAATATGGGCAAAAGTCACTTTGTTCATGAGCCATTTCCATGTTCATAACTTGTGCATTTTCAAACTCAGCATGTGCAAGCTACATTACAGGCCTCTAATCTCATTTACACTCAAAAATTAAATGCTAAACCATTGTGCCAAGATGTTATTCTATGCATTTGGTCATTACATGAAGGATTAGTCCATAATTAGAAAAAGCACATTATCCATTTTTGAAAAGTTGAACTTTATGTCAAGATTGCAATCTATGAAGTACAAGGAAAATCCTTTTGGCACAAGTTCAGGAACATATCCCACTGATCAAGACTAAAAGGTGCAGCATACTTGAGGGGCCTAGAGAAGCTTGTAAACCAACTTGCCAAACTTTGCTTAAGATAGAAGAAACATTACATAACTAAGAACATCTCACATTTCTGCCAAGAGAAGCTTAGACAAACTTGTTGAACACATTCAAAACATCATAACTGAGCTAAGGCACGAGCTAACCACCTTCTAAACCTCATCATTCATCAAAACACCATCCTACTGCAAAAAACAGAGTCCCTTCTACAGTTGGACTTCTACAACTCAATCCATTCGTGCGCCTTGGCCAAAACCACTTCATACACACTCCATAGCATCCATACAAACTATCCCAAGTCCTAGCTTCAGACTGTAACACCTCTAACCAACTTCACCATTTTCACTTTTTCTGTTTTGCAGGTTGACTCCTATAGCTTGATTCATTTAGTTTCAAAGCAAGCTAAAGGTTGGAGAAGCATCCCTGAACTTCAAGCAAGCTGTACAAGTCCTCACATTGCACTGAAAGTACCTCCATTGTCAGGCACGATCCAAGCTGAACAGGTAAGTTCATGGACTTCTATCTCTCAATCTAGGAAGAGTTAACTTTAGGTTTATGAATGAAAAATGCTCTACTCATGGCCCTGAAGCTACACATATAATTACTTTCCATTTATATTGCATGTGCTGAGAGAATTTGGAACCTGAACATTAGAAAAAACTTAGGTCAAGAATTAGGGATGGAGAAATTCTCTCTCATTTCTGAGAGTTAAGTCAAGTTTTTTATATGTCTGGATTCGTCTCTTGATGCTCTACATTTTTTGTGTTATGAGTTTTGCTTGAAAGTCCAGGAATCAGGAGTTAGGAAACGCGTGTTGTTGTTGTTCAAACAAGTCTGGAGGTTGAAGACAACCCCTCTTGGGTTGGGCCTGAGTTTGATTTTCTTTTTGCACCACATTCTCACACATGCACCCCTTTGGCCCATTGTATTTTATTTTTATTATTTTTGACTTTTGATTTTTGTTTCTGACTTATTTATTTTTGTCAAAGCATAAAAAATATTAAAAATATTTTTCTCACATTTTTTGCATTTTATTTGATATTTATTTGTTTCATTTAGTTATATGTGTAAATAAATACATAATACTTTTTTTAATTTAAAATACTAAAAAACAATACAAAATACATTTATTTTCTAATTTTATTTTATTTTATCTTTTGAAAACATTTCCTAAAAAAATATGCTTTTTTTTTAAATATTAAATATTTTATTTTTTGTACATATTTAATATATTTAATAAATAATATAAATACTTATATATTTATTAGTATATTTAGGTTAAAAACATAAAAATAATACATTTTTATTATTATTAATATTTAACTTGAAAAATCACTTTTTTACAATATACTTTCTTTTTATTTATTTTATAATTAATAAATATTGTATATAATAAATAATAAATACTTTTTATTTAGCAAATTAGGATTTTGCCCTAAACCATGGAAAATATCCAAAATTAATCCTTTTTATTTTTGTTTAGATGTCACATGAAAAATACTTTTACATACACATAAAAAACATTTTTGTGCATAATACATTTTACATTTTTTTATTTATTCAATTATTGTATAATTAAAATAGCTTGTATATTCAATTTGGATGTAATAGTTTAGATTTAAATTTCTTGCTAAATATCCCCATTTGAACATTTGTACCCCCCATCCCATAATTATGTTGTAATAATTTAGGATTTTATTTTCCACATTTTAAAAGCTTTCTAATTATGCCATGATAGACTTAGGGTTTGTATGCAAATCAAAACTAACAAATAGCTTGACCTAATTCAAAGACAAAAAGCATGAAAATGGACAACACCAATCACACTTGCACCCCTTAGGGTTACTCCACTTGTTGCCTTCAATAATGGGCCATGTTGCATGTTGAGTTTCTTTGGCAAAACAAAACAATTCAAATGATCATAGTCCCTCGATGACACTTTCGAAAGTTGCCTAAAAATGATCAAGTCCCTTAAAGGAAAAGTTGCCAAAGACACTTGGCACCATTGCAATCATGGTCTAAACGATGATCCGCACCCGTCCCGTTCGCATCCTAACACAAGATTGTCCATCAAATACAATGGTGGAACAAAAATTGTTAAAAGGTTTAAAACATAGCAAAGACCTTTGAGAAATTTAGAGTAGACAAACTCTTGGTTACTTGCCAACTTGCAAAACAAAAACACTTGCCTATTTTTCAAAGCACACATCACAACACACTTTCAAAACAACTTTCAAAAACATTGAAAACTTTTCAAAAGATAAGTACATCTTTGTATACATCCCAACATGGATCATTACAAGGGTTGCCATCACATTGGCCTCTTTTCAAAACAATTTCAAACACACACACAAAACACCATTTCAAACAATTGAAAATCAAGGCAAGTTGATCTAAGCAAGTAACTAAGAGCCCATGGATAACCATGGATAGAAAGGGTGCTAATACATTCCCTTTCTATAATCTACTCCCCGAACCCAAGAAAACATCTCAAAGGTTTTTGCTGTGCTTTTTAACCTTTCCTTTAGGATAAAATAAAAAGTCGGTGGCGACTCTTGCTCAACCGAAACATTTGCGAAAACAAACGCAAAACTCAAGTCAGTTCTCCCACCGTATCACACAAGGCACTGTAACTTAAACCACTGCAACTCAAGGGACTGCAGCTCAAGAAAATGCAACTCAATTCAATGCAACTCAAGGCAATGCAAATCAAGGCAATGCAATGCAAGGCACAACAACTTAAGGAACTGCAACTCAAGGAAATGCAACTCAAGGCAATGCAACATAAGGCAATGCAAGTTAGGCTGGGACCAATGCAAGTCATATTGGGACAAGACAAGTTTATGCATCTCAAACTACTGCAAGTCAGGTTGCAGCAACACAAGCATCAGTTACACAGGGATACATGAATGCAACTCAATCTTTACAAGGAAAGGCGGTACCAGGGCAAGGCACAAAGAAGAAATCTAGAGGAACTGGAAAGCTACAAAAACTAGGTGTGAGAAGGCCCTTTGTACCCCCAGGACCAATAACAAGACTCTCAGCAGCCAAGAATACAACTGGTCCTACCACCAGGTGATTTACTCCAACCAAGAGAAACACATCAAAGAGGACCATCTAGTTATAATTTTAGGGTTTATGTATTTTGGAACATGTTGTAACATGTCATTCTGTCAACCTTTTGGAACATGCCTATGTAACATGTCTGTAGTTTGGAACATATCTATGTAACATGCCAACTTCGTATTTTCAGTTTAAGTAATTTGATGTGTTCATTTACTAGTAATGCCCAAAATTATGTTGCTACAATTAATGATATGTCAAACTGATATGCTTTGATTAATGATATGTCAAACAAAATAAGTCTTAAACTGATAGCATGTGTTAAAATTAAACATAACCTTGCACATAAATTTCCTAAACTGATATGTCCACATGTGTTAAAATTACACATAAGCTTGCACATAAATTTTCTAAACTGATAAACTGATAAAATTACACACACAGTTGCTACATACTCCTACTCCTAATACAACTTAATGAAAAATATTACAAAACACACAATCTTCAATGTTTTTTTCCACTTCAACATCTTATTCAGTTGAATTTGAAGTTCTAACACCTCATCCCCTAGTTCTTCATTTCTAACCCTCAATTTTTCGAACTGATTCTTGGTTTCATCTAAATTCTTTGCTATGCTTTCCAATCTATTGATCAATACTTAGTTTATGTCTTCTGTCAATTCTTCGTGAAACCAATCGAAGAAGTCACATCCTCTTTGCAAGGATCCCTGTAAATTTCAAAAATTAATCAGACTCTGTTTACCATCTTTTAACATACCCAAACCAAAATTAGAACTTACTTTGTAATTGTGACAACCCCAAAATTTCTTTCCATAATTCTTCTCAGTGGTTGCCTCCACAATGACAAAGTTGTGCAAATCGCGAGCTACTGTATACACATGAGCCAACACTTTCAGATTTCTTCAGGTTCATTGGAGAAGATGAATGCTTCGTATTCATGGAGAAAGGGCCGAAGATGAAGAAGGTAAAGAAAATTTTGGGAAGGAGAACGTAAAGATGAAGATGATGGGTATGTAAGAAGATGATGGGTACAAAGATGAAGAACGTAAAGAAAATTTTAGGAAGGAGATTTTGCAGCAAGGTGAAGAACGCATACTGCATATAAAGAAGATGAAGAAATCTGCCAGCTCACCTGCCACGTCACGCAAATAAACGGATATTGGATGCCAATTGACAGAATGAACTTGTTTGAATCTTTTAAAAAATTAAAAGATCAGTTTGCCACGAAAAAAGATAAGGGATCAAAGTGAACCATGACCTATAGCTAATGGACCGAAATGAGTATTTTGTCTATAATAATATATATTTAATAAAATATAATATAAAAAAAAGTAAAAATATTTTTAAAAAAAGTTAAATAAAAAAAAGTTAAATAATAAATAAATAAATAAAATTAGAAAATTCCACGTAAATTTAAAAAAAGTAATTAAAAAAATATTTAAAAAATGCCACGTGGATTTACAGAAGAGATGTTGTTTATTTAATCCTTATTTATTTAAATAAATAAAAAATAATAATTAAAGTTATTATTGTTGATCTTATAAGATTATTTTTTAAATTTATTGAATCATTAATCTATAAGAAAATGATTGATGCATTGACAGTGTAATATAATTTTATACTATCAATCAATCAATCACAATTATAAATTTAATTAGTTATTCTTTTATTTTAAAAAAAATTTAATAACAAAATAAAATATTTATTTTCAATTAGAAAACAGTGTAAAACTATACAATTTCACTCTCAATGAATTTAACACTGCCTTTTAACTCTATTTAGTATATATGATAGACCAGATTGATTGATTCCTAAATGAATTTAAAAAATAAATTTTTTCTATAGAGAGAATATTATACATTGAATCCACCTTATATTTAATAATCTCTCTACAAACCAAAATTCCTAACTCTAGCACTGAGTTCATCTCTCTTTCCTACCGATTCCATTCCACTCCACAACAACAAAACATCTTTCGACCGACAGTTCTGATAAATCAAGAATGTCCAACAATAACAACAGCACATCCGGTTTGATGTCTTGCGACAAACTCGACAGAGTTGTCAGCTGGGTCGGCACCAACGTGGCTTCTGCTTTCTTTGCTTCCTTGGAACGTTGTTCTTGCATCAACCTTAGCACCACCGACACCGAAGATGACAACACCAATGATGATCGTCCTCTCATGCTTACCAAACCTGTTTCTCATCTACCCTTTGAGAGTTCCACCGCAACTCTTTCGTCAAAATCCGAGCTTCGTTCTTGATCTCTTCGTATCCCTCTGGGTTTGCAATTGTAACTGTTTATGTTCTTTGGGTGTTCAGTTTTTAGTTTTTTCATGAAAAAAATTTAGTCTTTTTTGTATTTGTGTGAAATTTGTTGGATCTTGTTACCTTTTGTGTGCAAAACTTGAAAGTGACCTCAATTACATTTTCCTCTACCCACTTTGTTTCCTTAATAAAATGTTGCTTATACTTTCTAACTAATTAATGTAACTAATTTGTAACTGATGATTTGTATATATCTAACAACCCTAAGGTTGAAAGGTTGATGTAGAAATCTTAGCCCCCTAAGAAAGGTGGAAACTATCAAAGTTTGACTATTTAGAGGATAAGATAAATGTAGTGCTTAGCCACTCGACAAAAGCAAGAAAACAATAGGATCAACGTCTAAGAAGTTGAAACCATCAAAATCCTTAAGTTAAAATACTTAACTATTAAGATGTCACCATTCAAGACTTAATCACTTAATAAAAACATATATCTTTAAGCACCTAATAAAGATAGTGATAAAAATAAGCCAAGTGAAATTGGACAACAAGAAAACAACAAAAAGAAGAAACTCGTGAATACTAAATATTTTTAATATTGTTTACATATGAACTTTTTTAAGCTTTAGGTTTTTTTTTAATAAACGGTTTTTTATCGATAAATCGACAAAACATATTATAAAGTGCTGATAATAATACTGTTATTTAATATTTTTATAATAAAGAATAAATTTTAGTTAATTTACATCACAATACTTTGATCAGTATCATAGCACCTATACCGATCAAATTAGAAAAACTTTTATGCGATCGTTATTTAAAATCTTAAATTTATGACATAAAAAAGATTGAAGGAAGAATGTATTCAATGTTTCAATAACAGTTTGATTTGTCTCTGAAACGAGTTTCAGGTTTATGCATCTACATACTCCGGATAAATTTTATCTTATAATAGCAAAAAAAGTGTTTCTTCCTTAGAAAAACCTATGTCATTAACATTTTACAAGATCCAACATATACAAAAAAAAAAAAGGAAAGAAAATAAATTATAATATTTTATTCAATTTTTGTTTAATATGTATATAAAAAAGTATAAAAATGGAAAGTGAAATTATATTTTATAGAATTTATTAAAAATATTAAAAGTTTATAATTAATTTTTTTTAGAGATTTATATTAGATGTAACTAATAAAAATATATATTCAAAATCTACAGTAAAGATTATGAGGATTTATTTTAACATTTATAAAATTAATATAGTATGTACAATTAGCTATTAAATGAGTTGTATTAAAAAAAATTAAAAATTAGAATGGTTATCAAATCGGCGAAAGTATTGAGTACTGGTTTATTGGTTGAACAATTGGGTCACTGATCGAACCGGATGATTAAATTGGATAATTCAATTGAATAAATCGATCTCTATAACAATTATATATTTATTAAATCGGATGCACTGCGTGATTTGATCTCTAAAAAATATCACGATACCTATAAAATTTCAAAATATCATAATTTCACATGTTCATTTTTTAGTTTCAAGTCTAAATATAATCATCACACACAACAAAATAAAATAAAAATACAAATCTAAATAAAATTTGAACCAGGTCTAATTGCAAGCAAAAGAAAATTATTTCAAATAAGTTTGAAATAAAGTCTAATTATATTTTAATTTTATTTTTTGAAAGAAATTATCAAAACGACGTCATTTTATCGGAAAAAACATACATTTGATCCGTCGGTTTTTCCAAATTGTCAGTTCATCAATTTTATCGATTTTCACTGGTTTAATAACACATCAGGTCTAACAATTAAATTAGACCGATAATCTCTCCAATTCACGATTCGATCAATCTAACTAGTCGATTCGATTCGACTTGTAAAATATTAACAATAAACAAAGAAAAAATAATGGTTTTTAAACATAATAAAACAAAACCTTATTACAATACGGTCTTGGTGTTAGTCTAAGGTGTTGAAATATCAATTCTTTAAGATATTAACTATAGTTTGCATGTTTAATATTAGATGCAACCAATAAAGGTAGAAGTGAAGTTTGATGACAATAGTTTTTCCATGGTTGAATGAAGGCGTGGCAAAATAGGTCGTGGTTTATTGGGTCAGTTCGTGTATCTGCTAAAAAATAATGGTTTGGATTAGGATTTTGAGTCCATCGATTCGTTCAGTCTGTCTCATCAAAGCAAAAAATCTGCAAGTTGAAGACATAATGAGGCAGGTTAGCCTTCCAGCTTGTTGAAAAATAACTATTTAAAAAACACTACTACAAAAAAACATATTTGATCTCGGAGGCAAAATACATTTAACCTCGACTACAGAAGCGAGGTAACGGAGTGCGTCATGAAAAGTTGTCACTTTACTCCCCAGTTAATAAAAAATGAAGGATTAAGTTATCTGCACATGAGTTCGAACCTCAACATATACATTTTTATTATTCTCAAAACTAGCGCATCATACCTCTCAGTTTATCAATAAAATCGAGGGGTAAGTTAGATGTTTATTAAACCCATTGCATTATTTACACAAAATATTAATAAATTAATTTTTTTATAAATTACATTGTTTACCCATAATATTACATTGTTTACACATAATATTAAATTAAAGAATTAATTTCAATGAAGATATGATTTTAGATCTTCGAATCATTAAATTTTGGGGAAGAACAAGGGTGCAGAATACTTTCAATTGCTTTTGTGTGCATTTGTTTCTGAAAGAAAATGAAAAAGGGTTAGATAAGTAAATGATTTTATGCTCAAATAAATATTTAAGAACACAAACCTTAAATCCAACTAATTTTATGCTATTACAATCCATCATAGAGAATTTTTCATGGTAAATGCTCTTGCAAACCTTAAAGTGATGGATGTAGATAGTTACAAGCGCTTCATGATGTTTCATTATCAATTTTTTATATTCATAATGCTTTTTATAGTGGAAGTTTTTAATGTTTCACGCAGATTACTAATGGTAGTGTCTTGAGCATTGATAATAATGAAATAGACGAAAAAGATTTGTCTAAGGACTGTGATCAATATCCTCAAAAATCAGGCTAATTTATCCCCTCGACTTTAGTAGAAAACCGAGATAAAAAAGATTTTATTTAAATATTACATTATTTATACAGAATATTAAAATGCATTGATTACAACAAATTCAGATTCATCATTGTCGCCGTTATTCTTGGAGAACAACAAATCTTTGTTGTAAACCAGATTTTGTTGCATATCTTATATCCATCAAACTTCTAATCCTTTCAAAGGTTGAACTCCTTTCTTTGTTTAACTTGAAGCAAGAATTATTTTCTGCACTTGCAATCCATCATAGAGAACTTTTCCAACCTTCTTTAACTTGAAGCAAATATTTCATTATCTTGAGCAAATGCTTTCAGAAGAAAGACAATAAAATATATGGTGGTGGATGTAATAGTTTGTTGAGTTGGGTCATCAAGGTAAGCATTCACGTTGATTCAAGAGCAACACACAAGTGAAAGAGACATCACATATTCACTCAAAACCTTAAGGTAGTATGTATATGGATTCTCTCACTTATAAAGTGCTCAACCTCCACTTTTCTAATCAATGTGGGAGTAACAACTCACACTTACACTCTGATGGGAAATTAAGACAAAATAACAGAATAATACGGTAGATATGAAATTTCCACACTTGTAGGAACCTTTATCATCAACAACAAATATAAGACGACAACCGAACAATAAATGTATAAAAGAACACTAATATTTTTAACTTTGAAAATCCCTTAATATGAGAGTAAAAATCATGAGTCGTCTAGACCAAAGAAAAAACTCCACTATAATCAACTGAGGATACAAGAGAGTCTTAAAGTGATTTATAAAATAGTAATAACAACCGCAAATCTCAAAACAAAATATTCTCCTAAATTTGTAGCTTCAGTGCAAAGAGGATATCTCTCAACTCAGACCTTGTTTTAAAGATTCCAACAGTCAAAAGTTAGATATATATGTTGTGAACAAGCCCACCAAATTTCAACTTGATCCGACAGTGAACTAATCGAGAATCATCATTTTAGTGAGACTGCTATAGAAAAAATGGGAATGAGTTTCTCTCCTCTTTTCTCTCTTTCTAATCCTTATTTTCTCTCTATTTCTCTTAGCCCTTAATTGACACTCTCCAATTATATAAGTGAGACAAATGGGCTATTCATATTTGGGTCTTTCTCCAATTAATAAAGGAGCTCAAGCCCAACAAATATCCCCCTCACAACTATGTGAAGGAAATCGCCAAACCGATGATATCACAACAAACTTCAAACTTAACTCTTGGTAATGATTTAGTCATCATATTAGAACCATTATCATCTGTATGAACTTTAGCTAACTCCAACAACTCAGTATCTAAAACATCACATATCCAAAGATATCTCACATCAATGTGTTTGGACCTATTATGAAAAGTAGAATTCTTACCAAGATGAATAACACCTTGACTATCAATAAATAACACATATTTGTCTTGAACAAAACCAAGCTCATGCAAAAACTTCTTCAACCATAGTAACTCTTTGCATGCTTCGGTAATGGCAATAAATCCAGCCTCTGTAGTAGACAATGCTACATACTTTTGCAATCTGGAATGCCAAGCCATAACTTCCCCTAAAAGTTTAATCATGTAACCCGAAATAGACTTTCTAGAATCAATTTCTTCATCCATATCAGAGTCAGAGTATCCTACTATAGTAGACTTATCTCCTCCAAAGCAAAGCCTCATAGAAGTAGTACCGTGAAGATATCTTAAAATCCATTTTACAGCATTCCAATGCTCTCTTTCTGGATTTGACAAAAATCTATTGTTTGTACCAATATCATGTGCTATATCTTGTCTTGTACACACCATTTCATACACCTAACTACTCACAATAGACATATAAGGAACACATTTCATATCAAACGCTTCATCTTCACTTGAATGACTTTGATTAGAACTCAATTTGA